ATTATTTTTTTAGCTCTTTGGCCTAGAAGTACCAAGATTTAGCTCTCCACAGGATCATTTAGCACTGAGACCCTTTAAAGCAGGGGTGTCAAACATGCGGCCTGCAAGCCAGAACTGGCCCCTGCAGGGCTGGTATCCGGTCCGCGAGCAATTGGCTCTCTCCTGCTTCTTCCTCCCGGGCTGCTGCTGCTGTGTCACCAAGGCTGTCTTCCCTCCAGTGGCTGAGATCTCTGTTTCCTCTTCTGGGGAGGAAGGGAGGAGGGAAGGGGAGGGAGGGAGAGAGAGAGAGAGTACCAAAGAAAAGCTTCCTCAGTCTCTTTCTCTCTTGCTTCGTCCTCTGGGGCTGCTGCTGGGGCTGAGGTCTCGTTTTCCTCCTATGAAGAGGAAGGGAGGGGGGAAGGAAAGAGAGAGAGCACCTGCATGCACCAGAGAAAAGATTCCCTAATCGCTGTCTCCTGCTATGTCCTCCAAGGCTGTTGCTGTGACTCCAAGCTTCTCTTCCCTCCACTGACTGAGATCTCCTCCTCCTCCTCCTCCTCCTTTGGAGAGGGAGGGAGGAAGGGGGAAGGAAAACGAGAGAGAGTGTGAGAAATAGTGCCATGGCACACTGAAACCAACAAAGTTTTATTCCAGGTATTTCTTCAGTGAGAGGGAGGGAGGAAGAGAGGGAGATTTTTCTGGCAAGCACAATTTACACTAAGATTGCTCGACTGTGCTATTTACTTTGAGACCTGATCACACATACGCACATTAAAAGAGGAGGGGGGGGCAGGAAAGAGATACATTAGGGATAAGGGGAATTAAAGGGAAATTATTTTGATTTATTCTGAGAAGTTTTTTAAATTAGATTTCTCTGTGCCTATTTGGGATAAGTATTTAAAAATACATTTATAGTTCCATATATTCCAGTTCAACATGTGGTCTCCCTCTGTCCCATCCCACCTCGCTTGCTGCCTTTCTTCACATTAATCCTCCCCCTTGCTGTTTAACTGTTTTATTACTAGCACTCAGTGGATTTTGACCAGTCTGAAATCCACATATTATTTCACTTGGAGAGATCCTCCTTTCCAGTTCTAGCAGTAGAAAGAAAGAAAGAAAGAAAGAAAGAAAGAAAGAAAGAAAGAAAGAAAGAAAGAAAGAAACCTAACAGTACAGCTTGCAATCTTTATTAATGGAAGGGAACAAGGCTCCAGTAGTATGTTAATGACTAACAAAATTTGTGGCAGGGCATGAGCTTTCATGAGCCACTGCTCATTTCTTCAGATACAGCTAGAATGTGAGCCCATGTGTCATTGTATCTTGGAGAGTGAAATGATTTCAGATGCCAAATGACAATAGCAGGCATTGGTAGGTATGAGCTCTCGTAAGTCACTGCTCATATCTTCAGAGTTATGTATTCTTTGCACCCTCCTGGACTCAATCCTCCTGGAGCAAATTGAGACCTAAGTTTCCTGTCTCATTGCCAATGCTGATATCTCCATGCCCACTACCCCTCTGCATATCACACTTAATCCAATCAAGCCTGCTACCGCCATTCAGCATCTGAAATCATTTTTATAAAGTTTATATCTCTGGTACCTCATGTTACATTTTATGGCACACATGGCCCAGCCCAACATAGTGACATTTACGTCAGATCCAGCCCTTGTAACAAATGGGCCACCAAGGCAGCTAACAAATTAAAATGAATGTATTAAAATCACATTTTAATAAGTATATGAATTCCTTATTTGGTTACCAACTTTGGTGTTGTATATAACTGCAGCTATATTACTGTGTTGTTGTTTTTTAAATCTCCTAGGAGCTGGCAATTATTATTTTTTTCCAACACAATCCAACAACTTTCAATAGACATTTTAGAGAACTTGCAAATATATAATACAGTGGAAATAGTATACAATGGTTGGTAAAAATATTTTCTAAATTTTGCTTAACAAATTAATTAAAATATGTCACACAATTTAAAAAAATTAAATTAAAATATTTCACAAGATAAAATAATTTTATATATCCTTAGATTTTCCTGAACAAGGCCTGTAAAGAATGATTGAAAGGGCTTAGTCCAACTATATATCATATTTATACTCATGACAATTTATTACATATGCACTCTTATGAATCAATACCATTTTTAGAAATCGCTGAAGAAGACTGCTTACTTAAAACCTGTTAAGTCTACATGATTTTTCAAATCTAGCTATTATCTCACTTTGGTGTGTATGATATTTTACTTTTATATCCATTTTAACTTACATGTATCTTACATCCCTATTAAAGCAGAATTATTTTACAAGGATTATATATTCTTGCAATAGATTTTATCTGTACCTCAACTTTTTTTGGTGTATTGTTCTTAAACTTCACTGGGAGAGAAAAGCCTAATATACAGCCAGATCCAAAATATCCATTCATTTCCTGTTTGTCAGTCTCAACAGATATTGGTCCTGTAGTTCATAGCAGTTACATAGGCCTAAACATTTCATTGCTGTGCTAATAATTTAATAGTGTACTTTTTAAAAGGGTAAATAAATCACAGTAAAGATTAGGCTATTTCTCCTTTATTAAACTGGTGTCTTCTATAATCAAATCTGCTTACTTCCTTTGGAAATAACAAAATTTAATGTTAGCTGTGTGCTAAAGTGACATTTTAACAAAATGGAGCATCTTCTATGACTCTTCTTCTAAGATTGCTACGCACCATAAGCAGCAGGACCAAAGTCCATACTTGGCTGTATCATCATTAGTTAAATACTGGCACAGTCCAACTACACTATCAGCATAGTTGCCACGCATGAAGGATGCCCTCCAAACTGAACACAAACCTTTCTTCCCCTGCCTGTTCCCTTCAGCTGCACATGGGCACACACACAAGAAACAAGATGTCTGTGTACCTCCCCATACCATTCAATCCATATCACCCTCTTGCCTCTAATGAGGAGTAACTTGCATCAGGCTGAGGGGGGAAGCGGGACAGACACATGTCCAGAAGTACAAACACAGACTGTGTGATGGAACCTGAAGGGGAATAGGATTATTGAAGCTGTCTATTTTCTACAGCCCTATTCCCTCTGAGGTTCCATCATACAATATGTGTTTGCACTTCTGCACAGGCAGAGGGCTCTACTGAATTTATGGGAAACTTTTCACAAGGGCACTGTGCCTACAGTATAACTGGATCATGCCTCTCAAATCTATTTAAAAAAAATAAAAACTGTTTATCTAGGTTAATAGTTTTAAAATCAATATGGCACATTAATCTATCTGGTTTATATGTATAAAAGAAAATTGAACACCCCTTTTCATATTTTCTGTTTAGAAAGCTTCCACTTAGAGCTTAACTCCAGTGGAACTTTAGAGACATGGGCAAAATGTATTCCACTGCACTCCTGGTTTATTTTGCTGCTACAGACTAACAAGGTTGTCAGCCCAGACTTAGAGATGGAAATAAGAATATATTTCAAAAGTTATTGTTACTCACTTTTAAACTTGGGAGTAATTCCCACAGTGGGACCCCTAGTAACATTTCATAGGCTCAGGGTTATAAGGCTATAAACCCATACCAAAGTTTGCTACATAAAAATCCACATCTTAAAGTCCAAAGAGCCATAAGATGTGTGTGTGTGTGGGGGGGAAACAATGAGAGTGATCTTAAGCAGGCCTACTCAGAAGCAGGTCCCATGTTATTCAATAGGGCTTACTCCCAGGAAAAGACCCTTAGACGTGCAACCTAACAGTGCCACCCTAAACAAATCTACTCAGCTGCACTTAATGGGGCTTACACCTAGAAAAGTGTTCTTAGGATTGCACTGAGAGAGCTATTTTGCTGCATAATGCAGGGCAAATGGCTTTTAGAAACAAGATTTTCAAGAGCAGTTTGGATATGGAATTCAGGGCAGAGGGAGTCAACCAATCAAAGGCAAATATCAAATAGTAGAGTGGGCCAGTGGACTTCTTTTGCAGGGCCATAAGCTGCTCTTTGGATCCTTGTTTCCATATGTGAACATTCCATATTTGAAGTGAACTACAATTATTCATTTTGAACCCAATGTCATGTAATGTGAAAAGCAAGATGCTCTGACTTCCTACAATCTATTCTTGTTTGAATGTGCTGCTGGGTTTAGGATTAAAGCAAAACTATATGTCCTGCTCATGTAACAAACTTGACAGGTGAATTATTCATGACAATCAAACACTCTCATCTCCCACCTGAGGGAATGTAAACACCCCTTGGCCTCTTATGTGAATAACAGAAGAGCTGTTTCTTGATAAAACTGGAACATTCCTTTGTGTGCTTCAAGTATACCACATTTGTTTTTCATTGGCTTGCAGTTAACAGCTCTGAACGTTAGGAAAAGGAATCTCCCCTACTATGAATTCGCTGGTATGTTCAGTCTCACCGATTTGTCAGGATCTGAACTTGAATATTATGATGCAAAACCATGACTGAAAAAGAACACCAGAGTACATTAAGAACAAAGCGGATCACATCTTTCTGATAGACCATGCCTGGGGGGGAGGGATGCACATCTTAAAAACTGAAGCAAAGTGAAATTGAATAGACCACCCCTTTTATTTTAGTTTTCCTCTCTTCCCAGTATATACATATGGCAAACATTTGACTTGTTTCAACCCTTTACGTCTGACTTTTGTTAAATCATGCACTGTGGCTGCAACTTCCTGAGGCTGCACAGTGCCATGTCTCCAATAAAGACTCTTACGTCAAAAGAAAAATGTTGTAACCCAGAGGATCCTCCACTACTTCTTATGACAGAGAAAGCATTCTGTTTTGTCCTGTTAATTTTCCTAGGAGGATTACCTGAACCCCCACCTCATGGCTTGTTCCACATCTGCTAAGATCCAGAAGGGAGCAGAAAGCCAAGAGCAGAAAGCGGCCAGCTAGACCCAAATGCATATGTACAAAAGAACTCTTCCATGGAAATCCCTTTAAAAAGCTTTCTCGTTCCAAAATTTTTGACAGTTGCAGAATACCTCTAGGCTGGAAAGTAGCACAGACATTGCTCAACAATAACTCTATTTTAGCAGCTTTTCACTGACTGGTTCTATAAGTGTCAAGAGGTGACTTCTTTTCTACATTAAGTATGCTAGGAAGCTTAGAACAGTTGCAGCCAGCTGGTCAACACTTTAGGTGGGACACTACATAAGCCTCCATTGCTGGGCATGCATTGTGTGAATTAAGGACATCTAACAGTGGTCTTCAGTTAGCCTCTGTAGCTACAAAAGTATTAAGTAACACAGAGATGACTTTTCACTCAGCTGCCTGTATAGCCCTTCTGCCCACTCCATCACTACCCTGAATTTTGGAGAACACCACATTCACCCTCTCTGATCTTTCCCTCGGTGGCGTTCCTGCACTACTGACATCCATAAACAGGACTGGGCCCTAGCATGACCTGTGTATCGGAAGGGCCACTTCTTACAATGCCAGCGGGCTCTCCGGTTCCAATGTTTTCTCTCTCTCTGGCAGAGTAAGCACAAATGGGAGGAGGACCCCTTTAGCATCAAACGGGGCTTTGAACAGTTCTGTGTCAAAGGTGCCTTTCAATCCACCATCTGCTTCCACCTCACCATTCTGGGACAGGTTAAAGCACAGCATTCCAGTCCGGTTGACACAGAAGATGGTGCTGCCCAAGGCAGCGCAGCGGAATGGCTGGACAGGGCTGCCGCTGGGGCGCAAGGAGGCACACTGACTCCAGTGCTTGGCCACTGTATTGTACCGGAAGACTTCCACCCCCCCAGCCTGCCCCTGCTCCCCACGACCACCACTGACATCAAACCGGTAGATGAAGTTTTTGTAGGCCACCATGTCAGCAGAGCGTCGGCGGCTGCTGTTGTAAGGACACTCCTGCCACTCATCCCGCTTGGGGTCATATTTCAGCAAACGGTAGAAGAGGGATCCACCGGACACATAGATCTCCCCACTGCAGGTGGTGGCTTCATGAGCCACAGCAAAAGCACCTTTAGGCAAAGGGGCCACTGGATTCCACCGATCTGCCCGGGGGTCATATTTCTCCACTGTGAAGAGGCACTCGCCCCCCACGGCATAAAGACAGCCGTCTAGGGCCAGGAGTTTGAGCTGTGAGCGAGGCTGCCCCATGGGCTTCACCTGACTCCAGGTGTCAGTCAAGGGGTTGTAGCAAAAGACCTTGTCCGAGAGCCTCGCCCGCTGGTCGCCTGGCGCTGTGGAGATGCCTCCAGCCAGGAAAAGGTAGTTGTAGAGGACGCACATGGCGCACCCCTTGGTGTTGGCCTCGTCGGGCAGACGGGTCAGTACCCTCCACTCCTTGGCCGCCTCATGGTAGCTGTGGAGGAGATAGCTGCTCTCGTCCAAGGAGACCACGGAGGAGGGGCTCTGCGGGCGGCTGCTCTCGCGGCTCTGCGGGCGGCTGCCGCCGCTGAGCCTCTCGAAGGCGTCGCTCACCTCGGCCACCAGCAGGCAGGGCTTGCCGGCCTCCAGGCGGCGCTGCAGGATCAGGTCCCTCTCGGCGCCGGTGAGGCGGCCGTAGACGGCGGGCTCGCGCAGCACCTGCAGGTAGTGGTCGCTCATGAAGCGGTAGGTGGCCTCCCGCAGCTCGGCCAGCCGCTGCTTCTTGGCCAGGCTCAGGAGCTGGAAGCAGTTGTCCAGGCGGAGCTGCGCCCTCATGGCCTCGGCGGCGCACTGCAAGGCGCGGGGCATCTGGAGTACGCGGGCGCCGCTCACCACTTCGGCCAGGTTGTCGGGGCGCACCTCGCCCATGCGCCCCGTGTACATGTACTCCAGCAGCTGGCCCAGCGCCCCGTAGCTCACCCCCTTGACGCGAAGGATGTCCCGCGAGGCGCGCGCGCGGAAATAGTCGCTCTTGGCCGCCAGCACCGCCTTGTGGGCCTGGATCCGGCGCCCGGACACCTCGATCACCAGGTCCGGCTCCTCCGTGACCTGCGCGGCGCACACATCCAGCGGTGGCGACGGCTGCTGCCCGCAAACGCCCGTCGGGGCCGCCTGCCTGCTGCCGCTCTCCTCCTCTTCCGACGCCGCGTTGTTGATCTCCCACTGGCTCTGCACCACGCGGCAGTTGCTGCTGCTGCTGCTGCAAGAGGACGACGAGGAGGAGGAGGCGGCGGCGTCGGGCTCCGGTGGCGTGGCTTTGTCTCCGCTGCCGGGCGAGCTGAAGCACAGGGAAGAGCTGAGGCCGCAGGGCGCCTGCAAGGGGAGCTGCGCCGCGCTCGGCTCCTCTGCGCTGCCCCCGTTCTCTTGCTCGGCGGCAACGCGCCCTTCCATCGCGGCGGGCTGCTCGCTGCTGCTGCTTCTCTCCGCCGATTCCCCGCTGGCGACTTTCCCCGGGGACGCTAGCGGCGGCTCCATCTCCTCGCAGCGCTTCTTCGCCTCGTTGGCATTCCCGTTCTCACCTGGGGAGGGGACACAAGACAGCGCTGAGTTCTCCGTGGGCGCCTCTAGGGCAGAAGCCCGCGCCAGCACAGTCAGTCAGTTTCTCTCCCCCGCCCCCCGGTGCCGCTTTGCAGTTCTCCAAGCGACCGTGAGCTTTTTATTTTTTTTGCTTGCTCAACTTTGCTCACTTGGCGCTTGGTCAATTTCCGCACTAGGTTCTCACCCGTCGATCGAGGCGTGGCTGCAGCAGCTACAGCCGCTCACCACTGAACTTTTGAACCGTTCTTGGTGTAGAGGTTATCGGGAAGCCACCAAGCAGTTTGATCAGGACAGAGATTTCCTGGGTGGCACCGCAACGATTAAAGTCAAATGTCTCCACTCCATATGGAGGTGAGGCCGGAGGAAACTGACAAAGGGTTTTTTTAACCCCCTTCAAAGTAATTTCCCGGCACCCTGACACAGACTTGCATTTTCCCCAGTGAAACCCATGATTACACAGTGGATCAACCATTATCTAGTTCCCACATGCCCAGCACTGCCTTTGTCTCCCTTTAAATGTTAACAGAAAACTTTTTAATTGGGGCCGAGATAACCAACATTAAGAAATGTAATTCTGTAAATGAACCACACTTACATAATTTATTTTGCTTTTTCTGGTCTTGTAAAAAACAAGGCACCCAGTGTTCTGACCTCGGTTAAGCCTACACAGCCATCTAGCTTCTGAGATTTCACAGGGACTAGCAGTTAAGAGTCCTAGACTATGATCTGAAAGAAACAGGTTCAAGTCCCCACTCTGCCACGGTAGTCCCCTGGGTGACCTTGGGCCAGTCACATACTCTCAGCCTAACCTCCCTCACAGGGTTGTCGTGGGGATAAAAGGGGAGAGTGGAGAACAAAACTGAGTTGCTCTGGGTCCCCACTGGGAATGCAAATATATTGTCCTCTCTCTTTAAAGCTTATGTGTAGAGCCCCCAGGACTAGAAACTTGCCAGTATGCTAAATTCCCATTAATGCCCAAGGTCTTCCATTGGGAGCTGATATGTGTATTAGTTTCTTTCTTCTAAAGACCGTTTGCGTGTGTTAATGCAGTAAAAGACAGGCTCCATATCTAATTTAATGGGTCTTATTCCCAAAAAGAGTTCAATTATGCAGCCTAGCTTGATCCTATGCATAATTATGCATAATTCCTGAGAATTATGCTCAAAGTTTGGTTCATGGCATACAACAAAACAGTAGATACATATATTTAAATGCATGAATAAGTCCCCGCGCCCTCCCACACACACACACATTGTGCATGGACCTTTTACCACTACTGTAAAGGTTTCCAAGAACTGATCACAGTTCACAGACACAGAAAAGCTGAGTCAGGAACAGCAATTAAGTGCCTCTCCAAATACCCGAACTCAGCCCAGTTAATGTCATCATACCTCCAGTTCTGTCAGACAGCCTGTAGCAAATCAATAATGTACAAATCCTGGGGATCATCAACAGATCCACTCAATAGGATGCCACCCTCGTGCTATTGTCAGAATACACGCCATATGCAGATCTTTGAACCTCTCATTTCCCATGAAGTCTGCCAAAGCTGAAGAATCCTACAGATATATTGCTATTAAGCTAAGACTGATTTGATAGTGGATTATGCTTGTAATTTTGCACAAACCATGTAAACTACTCAAGCCTCTGCTTTTAGGGCATAAGGGAATAATAATAAGATGACTTGCTGCTTCCTTAATTGCTCAAAGTGATTGTGATTAGGAATTCCTCTCTGATAAATGCAGTAGGCTCTGATTCCTGCACCCAAGACAGAGACAGCAAAGGGGATTCCTGCTTCATGAACGTTCATGTTCTGGGTTTGACTTCCATAAACCACTCATAGGCAGGGAAGTACAGGAAACAGGCTCTTTTTTGTGTTAAAGAAGCAGTCTGGGGTCCCTTTTAAAAACAATTTTGCAGGTCTGAAAAAGAAGTCTAATCCCTCTGATGCAAATGTCAAAAATTACAGGATTGCAATCTGACAATTATTTTAAAATGGAGAAACCACTCTATCGATGTAATGAAAAGCGCTCAACTGGGTGGGCATAGATATTCAACCTTGAGTGCATTTAGATAGCAATCTTAAGCAGGTCTACTCAAAAGTAACTGTCATGTTATTCAATGGGTCTCACTCCCAGGAAAGTTCCCTTAGGAGTGCAGCCTTAATCACTTAAATTGTGTTAATTAATTGACAGTCCATTTGATGATCATAATAATACATTAGTTTGTGGTCCTGCTACCTGAAGTTCTGGTGATAGATGGCATCTTTTGTATTCCTTCCACGGTGAGTGCTTGGGAAATGGCCCTTTTTGTGAAGATCAACAAGTTTCAAATATAGTCATTCCAAAATTTATTTCTATGGTTATTTCAGTGGAATAAATGAACTGCAACACTGTACATTTTCAGAATATTTTGAAAAGCAATTCCCCCATCAAGTTGTCTTTGTGGTCAGCAAGCTGGCATCAATACTTGCATATTAGCTTCAATGAGATCTTCTGTTTCTTACGGAGTCATCATTCATCTTTCCTCCACCTGTATAATAAAAGAGTTTTGAATTTTGTTCAGTTTTAAAATGAAACAATCCCCATGCTTGCATTTTGTTTGAATTAACTCTGAAGGAAGCTGTAAATACTGTAATTGAGTTCCCTTTAATCCCATAAACTAAATCTACATTTGCTCAGGAAAAAGCATTCCTGTAACCTATTATAAGACCCAAAGCTGCAATTTATTTTTAAAATATTTCTCTTTTATTACAATGAAAGATAATGCTTTATTATAGTAATCCACTAATTAGCAATGCTAATTATATTGGGTGAAACACACTGACCCTAATCCAACTCTGGTAATATGCAATTAATCTTGTCTAATTTGAATGTAGGTATGCATTTCTATCTATATCAAAAGACACATCCCAACCCACTCTATATGGCTGAAGTAAACTATGTGTGCCAATGTGCTGCTTTCTCATTGATTGTGCACTGAAATGCTGATCTCTCATGTTGGATCAGGACAGTATGCTTGCAATCCTCAAACCCCTTTTTATGGTATAGCCCTACTGAGTTTCCTGATAATTTAAGCAGCACTTTGTGGAAGCAGTGTAAGAAAAGAAAAAAATTGGAATGTACTTATAATCTAGAGGTTTGAAAATCTAAGTCTTCAAATTTAATTTCATAATTAAGTTAATATCATCTGGTGTATACTTCCCTCTGCCCCTCCCAGATACAGTGAACTAGATAATTTAGGCTGCAATCCTAACAACACTTTCCTGGAGTTAGCCTGTGAAGAAAGAAGTGATTTCCTAGTGACTAAAAAGTAGGTGTCAGGTGCACCTCAAGCAGGAGCACATTCCAAAGGTTAGGTACTGAAAATGTACCTCACCTCTGAAGGATCCTGTAAGTTATTCAGTTGGTTTACATCTATATAAAAGAAAGTCCCCTCACGGTAAAATCAACACCCAGGCCAAACCACTGGACCAAATTCGGGGAGAGTGCTCCCAGTGTGGCGTAGGTGCTCGCTAAGAAGGGATTTTTAGAAACTCGACCCCTAAGTGGGTCAAAAGGGGGAAATGTGCTCCCCCCATTGATTCCTATGTGGCTGCCAGGCAGCTCTCTCCCTGCACCCCCCACTCAGGTGCAGCCCCACCTCCACAGTGGCTTCTAATACTCCTCCCCTCTCCCCCTCCTACACTGGACAGGCAGCTGCCTGTCAGGTGTAGGAGAGGTGGGATGGCTTCCAACATACTCCACCCACCTCCTACACCTAACAGGCAGTTGTCTGTGGGGTGCAGCCCCACCTCCACAGTGGCTTCTACTACTCCTCCCCTCTCCCCCTCCTACACTGGACAGGTGTAGGAGAGGAGGTGGGATGGCTTTCAACACACTCCCACCTCCTACACCTAACAGGCGATTGTCTGTCGGGTGAAGCCCCACCTCCACAGTGGCTTCTAATACTCCTCCCCCTCCCCGTCCCACACAGGACAGGGAGCCTGCCCCAGCAGTAATGCCTTAGTGATCCTGCCAGCCCTCCCTCCACAGTTCTATGTGGCCCGCTCCAGAGTGAACACATCAAGCAGCCTGGTGATCCTAGCACCTGAGGGCAGAACCACCAATGTAGTCTAGAGACAGGTTCTTCGGTAGAGAGAAAAAAAGTAGGTATGTCTCACTTCATTTCTTACACTACAATCTTCTCCATTAGAATTCCTACAACAAATGTCACATTTCAAACGTCACATCATCAGTATTATAACTGGATTTACGGAACTTAAATACTGTAGCAAACACGGGTAGCGGGCTAGTCTATCTATGTAGTCCCCTCACCGTAAAATCAATGCCCAGGCCAAACCGCTGGGCCTAGAGACACCAAATTTGGGGAGAGTGCTCCTATCATGGTGTACATGCTCTCAAAGAAGGAATTTTTAGAAATTCAACCCCTACGTGGGTCAAAAGGGGTAAAATGTGCTCCCCCCATTGATTCCTATGTGGCTGCCAGGCAGCTGCCTCTCTGCATCCCCCACTCTCTGATTGGTCAGCTGCAGAGCTCAGTGTTCTGAGGTAAAAAAAACCCACCAGTTACAGGGGACTGCAAAGAGCTAATGAGGAAATCAGGAGTGGCCAACAACCACCTGTGAGGTGAAGCAAAGTTGCCGGCCCAGCCTCTCTGATGGCTTCAAGCAGCCTGGTGATCCTAGCACCTGAGGGCAGAACCACCAGTGTGATCTAGAGAGAGGTCCTTCGGTAGAGGGGGGGAAAGTACGTATGTCTCACTTCGTTTCTTACACGACAATCTTCTTTATTAGAATTCCCAGAACAAAGGTCACATTTCAAATTTCACATCATCAGTATTCTAACTGGATTTACGGAACTTAAATACCGTAGTGAAGCACGGGTAGCAGGCTAGTAGCTGATAAATATAAAGAGAATGTTAATGCTAAAATGATTTTCATCCATTTTGTAAGCTTGTTTGCTTGCAGTTTTAATGGGGAAGCCGTGTCCAAGATCTGATACCTAATCTTGAACTCATATCAATCAGTGTAGCCTACAACTTGCTACTATCCATAAACAATCTGCAACATTTCAGAATAGGCAAGTCACTTGTTCTTTGTCATCATGAGATTCATTTAAGTCATGTAGCTTGCGTAAGCAGTTCATCCTGAGGATTTCCTTAATTTGCCTCCTTCACCAGAAATTTACTTCAGAAATTTTGCAATACAACTTTGGGAAGTACTTTTACATTTGGGGAAATCATTTTTAATTTGTCATTTCAGAACTCAGTTACAGTTTAGGGTGCAGTTATAAAACATTCTGTACCCAAGAAGTCTTCTCAGTCAACCTAGCAGTCAACCTAAGCAAACATGTAAAAATCACCCAGAGGATGTATATTCTTAAACAGGGTGCCTAAGCCCCCCCCCCCCACAGGGCAGTCTACAAATCTGAGGGGGGGTCATTAGGAATTGGGGGAGGACAGATGGGGGCATTTGGGATTTTAAGCAGCCCATTCTCCCTATCTGGCTTATGGCAGCCAGTGGAGAAAAGTTGTTTTATACTGTGGAACCCATCCTATGGACCCATCCTGTGATTTCTCCCCCAGGCCCTTACAGAAGTGGCACACACAGCAAACAGGAATCAAGCCTAACACTAAGGAATTACCTGATGGTCATTGGGCACAAATATAAGAATGAATGCATGAGATCTGTGTATTGTATGCATGTTATAAATATTGTTATATAGAGAGTTCCCTTGCCTGGAGTTTTTTTTCCCTTTATGTCCTTCTATTTCACTTGGGGAACTCTCAATGATAATGTTGCACATTTGGTGGGTAACAGTGGGTTAAAGGTTATGAACCACTGCTCTGATTAGGTAAAACAAGTTTCCAATAGATATCCATTTAAATATATACAGTTAATGGATGGAACTAATCAATTAACTATCACACATTTCATTTACTAAAACAACAATACATAATGAATTTATACTAGTGTTGGAAGGGGGGGGTACCACCATTGATTTAGTCTGGATGAATGCCACTGTAAGGAAGCAACAGAGGTGGGAACCTCCAGCAATCGTGAATTGTACCGACAGCTTTGGCAGTGACACACTAACTACATCCTGGTCATGTGCCCCTGATCTAGCAAACTGTGACATAACTTGGCTAAGAAATTTTGGCAGAAAGAGGCAGCCTTCGGAGATGATGTTTTTGAGAAAGAGAAATGTTGTTCTTACATGTTGGAGGTCACATTTCTCCAGTATTTGCCAGCCTATGCATTTTTAAAAAGAAACACTTCTCAAACGTTCCTTACAATTTTTTAAAAAGCCCTTTCCTTTTATCAAAGCTCTGACTCAATAGTGGGCAAAGCTTTTATTACCATGCTGCCAAAAATGTCTTATAAGGACACAGTCTGTGGTGATCAGGAAGGATAATCCCCACATCACATATGTATCATTGTAACAGGAAAGAATAGAACAGAAATATCTCCCTTATAAATAAAAGCCAAATGGTGGTGGCACTTTAGAACATTCCACACGCTCCAAAATCACTTCGCTCTCTGATCTGTCATTCAGAAGGTCTCCCTATCCACTGGCTGCTTTGCCTGAGTCCTGCCTCCAATATTCTAAAGATTTTGCTGTTTCTCTCCCCCCCATAGCCAGTCAGAACACAGAGGTTATTTGCATATGCAGCCTCATTGGCCTCTGCCTCGGAACACACAGGTCGTTTGCATATGCAACTTGATTGGGTTTTGCCTCTAACATTCTAAACAGTTTTGCTGTTCTGAGGTAAAGTGTGTCCAATCTCCAAGTGAGGGCTGGAGATCACTCAGAATTACAACTGCTTTCCAGATGGCAGAGATCAGTTCCCCTGGAGAAAATGGTGGGCTCTGTATCCTTATATGCTGCTGACTGGCCCCCGTATGACAGCCAATATGACATAGAAGTCAGGGCTTCAGAGCACGGGAGAGGCTGCAGGTATGTGGGGGGTGGAAAGCTGAAGAGTGAGGGGGAAATAAAGGTAGATTGATGATTGGCTGGGAAGGAGATAGGGTTGCCAACTCCAGGTTGGAAATTCCTGGAGATGTGAGGGATGGAGCCTGGAGAGGGTGAGGTTTCAGGAGGCGTGGGACCTCGGACAGGTACAAAGCCATAGACTCCACCCTCCAAACCAACTCTTCCCTTCTGGGGAACCATTGTTGCCAATCTCCAGGTGAGGGCTGGAGATCACTCAAAATTACAACTGTTCTTCAGGTAGCAGAGATCAGTTCCTCTGGAGAAAATGGTGGACTCAGTGTCATTATACCCTGCTGAGGTCGCCACAGCAAATTGACACTGAGTGTCCAAGGCCGGGGCACCCGCCCAGAGCCTCTTTCTAGAGGCCGTTGTATTTATTTCCACAACGGGTCTTTTTCCTAGTAACCAGATAATGTTTACAGGACAAGGTTTATGAATGGTTTGGATGAGATGCTCTCGTGAGATGTTAGCAGTCCAATGTCACTTCCAACTTGTCCATGTTTACATTTAGGCAAGTTAGCCCATAAGAGCTCC